CCACCCTCGTAACCATCAAAGAATGTTTTCTTCTGTGTTTAAACCTTTTCTTGAGTTCTTATAATAGTGGTCTTATACAATATTTGTCCTTTTGTGACTGACTAAATTCACTCAGCATAATTCAAAGCAAAGTTTGTTGTTACAGATTCTGCCTCCTAAGGAAACTAAAAATTATTAAGTTGAGAAAAGGAAAAATACATCAATAATAAGAACATTGCCAAGTCTCTCTCATGCTTTCTATTTTTCTTCATGTCCTTCTCTAAGATGAGCAAACCAGATAAGCAAAGCAACAATACAGTTTTTGAGGTTAAGTACATATCAGTATCTCATACTTTCCTTTAAAACAAAACCATATTTCTATTTTAAACCCATTTTTTTTTCTATTTGAGGCATACATGCACAAAAGACAAGATTTATTTATATTCTACACAATCCCAGAAATGAGAATTAATTAACAATACAAAAAAGTCAACTAGTTCTACCACTGTTGTTGTTGTTGGTTGCCCTGCAATCGGCTGACTCATGGCGACCCCACGTACAACAGAATGAAACATTGTCCAGTCCTGTGGCATCTTCAGGGTTGCTGGTATACTTGAATCCATTGTTGCAACCACTATGTATTTTGAGTGCCTTCCAACTTACAGGCTGCTCATCTTCCAGCACTGCATCAGACAACATTCTGTTGTAATATACACGGTTTTTCATTGGCTAATTTTTAGAAGTAGATCACCAGGCCTTTCTTCCTAGCTTTTCTTAGTCTGGAAGCTCTGCTGAAACCTGCCCACTATGGTTGACCCTGCTGGTATCTGAAATACTGGTGGCACAGCTTCTGGCATCACAGCAACATGCCAGCCACCACTGTATGACAAACTGACAGATGGGTGGAGTTCTAATATAGGTAACTGAAATAGTAATCTGCATGGTCAATTTCATGGAGAGGCGCTCTCATATAGTGGTAAATGCACTGAGTAAGAAGGTCTGAAGTCCAGTTCTGATTACCATTTACCAGTTTAACACTTTCAAAATGGTGATTTTAAAGGTCCCTACCCTTAGTATTCTTATCTAGAGAGATCACTGCCAGTATGATTGTGAAAATCATATGAAATCATATAAAAATCATATGAAATAATACACAAATACTTTACGAATTAAGCTGTGATACAAAGGCAAAGTGTTATTAATATTCACTGATTCATAAGTAAATGATTTGTTGCTAGGATTATGGTAAGCTGTAGTTATACAATGATGAATAAAATGGATGAGGTTCCTGCTCTCCTGACACTCGGGGATTAATGGAGAAGCCAGACAGCAAATAAGTAAACAAACTTACAAACTGTGATAAGTACTATTCATTCCTACAAACATGCATATATTTGACAATACCAGACACTGTTCTAGGCACTGGGGATGTAATGAACAACAGAGATTAAAAAAAAACTCCCTGCCCTCCTGGAACTTACATTCTAGTAGAGATAAATATGTAGCATCTCAGCAATAAGCGCTAAAGAGAAGAAATAAAGCAAGGAAGGGGGACAGGAAGAGTGTGGATATGGGAGGCTGAAATTTAAGAATATGTGACAAGGGTAAAAAAATCGAATTAGTGACCCAAAGTAGACAGATCTAGACAACAGCATTCCAGGCAGAGGCAAAACAAGTGCAGAGACCCTGGAGAGGAAGCATGACAGGAACTAAGGAGCCCAGTGTGGCTGGGGCAACAGGGGAGGAAAAGGAAGCAGGAGACAAGGAGTTTCCTCTGGAAACTACAAGGGAATCAAGGTTTTGGCTTTTAATCCGAGTGAGACAGAATCCAGTACAGGCTTCTGACACAATCCTTCTGACTACTGTGTAAACAAATGGAAAGGGGCAAGGATGGAATGGAAGGAGGGTGATTGGTTAGGACAGTGCCATAATCTGTACGAGGGATGATGGTGGCTTGGACCAGGGAGGAAGAGATGGAGATGAAGAAAAGGACGTGGATTCTTTTTTAAAAGCAGAGCTGAAAGGATTTGTTGGCTAACTGGATGCGGAGTGTGAGGGAGAAAAGGAAAACAAAAACAGAACTGGATTTGATGATAATGAACAGGGGGCCCACTTTAGAAAGGGAGGTCAAGGAAGGCCTGACTGAGGAAGCTTTCAGCTAATGCCATGTGAAGAGCTAGGCAAAGGCTCTGTGACAGGAAAGAACCTGGCATGTTCTATGACCTGACAAAAGCCAGTGTGACAGAAGCATGAGGGGGAGAATGGCATGAGATGAAGTTAGAGAAGTAGGCAAGCATCAGATCACACAGGATTTTATAGGTCATGGTAGAGAAAGTTTGAATTTTATTCTAGGTATGGTGGAAAGCCATCTCAGTTAATGTCATAAAAATATTTCTTACGAAAACAGGGAACAACTTTATTTACTACCTATGATTTTAAAACTTAATTTTTAGAGGTTGACAAACAAGGCTTAATGTCTATCTGTTCTTGCTAAAATTAAACCTTAACCTAGAATAAGGGTAACAGAAATGCAACAACTTTTGTTACCTGGTAATGCCCATTCAAGTGCATAATTAGTATTCTGCTTGGTTAGTTTTCCTCCCTAGGAAAAATACAAAACAACAACAACAAAAAACCCCAAGAAACCCAATCACACACTACTCCAGATCATTTTAAAACATTTACACTCATTTAAAATAAAACAGTATACTGTTGGTAAAGTAGGTGTTAAAATACATTCTCTCCTGATTTAAATATTAACAACGTCTATTACTGTCATACATTAAGATTTCAGATAACAAGTCTGAAATAACATATTCTCATGACATAGAACTTTTATAATTAGCTCAAAGCATTTAAGAGACAGCAACCTTTATATCAACGAGCCCTGGTGGCACAGTGGTTAAGCACTTAGCTGTTAATCAAAAGGTGGGCAGTTCAAACCCACCAGCTGCTCCATGGGAGAAAGATGTGACAATCTGCTTCCATAAAGATTACAGCTTTGGAAACCCTACGGAGCAGTTCTACTCTGTTCTACAGGGTCGCTATGAGTCAGAATCGACTCGACAGACACGGGTGTAATCTATATATCTTCACAAGGTATTTAGCTCAGTTTTCCAGATGGGCAACCTGAAGCCCAAAAATGTTAGTTAAATGACCTGAGCAAATCTACATGGTGAATCACAGTAAGACAGAAACTACCCAGTCATCAGGGTCTAACTCTCAAGGTCACCATGATTTTCTATGTAATTATCCACATCTACATAGCTTTAAGTCTATCAAAAGGGATGTCCATACTTGTTTAAGGTCAAGAGTACAAAGTTCTCTAGCTGAGGTATTAATCTGTTCTACCTGGTTTCATAGATGGTGATGCGAAACTATAGAGTTGAGATATCTGGATTTTTATTGCCAGCTCTGGCACTGAAAGTACACACAACCCCAGGCAAGTTAATAACTTGTTTTCACAAGTGAAAAAGGAACTATGTATGGCTGAAGATGT